TTTACTTAATAGATAAAATGTTGATTAATCTTAATAATAAGAGACCCTGTAATGTACTTATTCAGATCAAGATGTTTTCTTGACCTCGTAGCTTTTGTAGAAATAAAAAAGAAATTTATTCCATCAGAATTGATTAGCCTAGGATTGATGGAGAATGCTGTTATGTTTTATTTGATTATTGTAATGTTGATGGTCCCCTGGTATTTCTGTTCCTACTTATCTTTCAGACCTAGAAGTGTATTGGTTAATATTGAGGTCAGTTATATATAGACTAAGTACCTAATGGGTCATTCTGCTCCACATCCTTATGCACCACTAAGTGTACAACTTGGCTTGTCATTTCTGTCACCTAAATTTTTACCTAACCTCTTAAGTGTAATTTTTAAGATTTGTTTACATCGTTCCCAATTTTTTGTGAGATTTATAAATCTCTTACAATGCTATCCTCTTGCTCTTAAAAATAAAAAAAATTCTTGTGGTATTTCTGATAAATCCTCTATGAAAAAAAGTGATTTGATGTCTGTCATTTTACATAAGTTGGGTTATATTTGTAGAATGGTATCAGCAGTGCATACCATAGTTGTCAAATTTTTGAGGTGATCGCCCAGTTTAAATTGAGTTGTAAATGATTAACCATGACAACAAGGAATACAAAACAATATATACATCTACTGTAACTAGATCTAGAATGGACCATTGAATGTTCGACCTATTGACCCTATTACACACTTGGTAGTTTTGGATTAGAAACACTCTCTATTCCTCAAGCAAGATTAATGTAGTAGGGTTCACATCAAAGGATTGGGATCAAGATTCTTTATCTGGAGGTGCCTGTTTCACAACTCAAGTATTTACAGTATTTTTAGAAAAAAAAAAGTTCTGTTAGAATTTTAACCTGAGTCAGTGCTATCTGTTACAGATTCAGAAATAAGGATAGAACCAGATATGTTGTACAAGTAAACAGTACTACTGCGGAACTTATGTTTCTCACTGCTTTCTGTTGTAGAATTCAAAGTTAATGAACAATTTGTTCTGTGAGATATATTGATAATTCTTTCTAAGGTATTTTTAACATGTACATGTCTCCAGATATCAGCTTAAAGGATTTGAAAATTAAATATCACAGTTACAAATTACATTGTTGACTACCTTAGTTTTATTTGAACTTCTTGAAGTTCATTTTAAATTACGTTTTACACCAATTTTGATTGATGCATCGAAACAGGAAAAATTTGTGACAGAATTTTCCAATAGTACTTAAAGTATCATCTAATATCAGAAACTCTGAAATTATTCTTAGTAGTACTAGAACAGCCAACTTTTCCATTTATTTACACATAGTTCAGTTATATGTTGTAAGAAGTCACTGATAGTCTACAGTGTGTTTTGTGAGCCGAAAACTTTCCCAGCTTGATTGAATACTGTACTTTATATATATAGCAATGTTAGTGCAACAATTTCCTGTTATTAGCCGTGAGCTGAGAATCCAATTTACTAGGGGTCTGACTGAAGCATTTCTTAGCTCTTCTCAATATTGATTGTATAGGAAAGAGCATTTCCATCTTTACAATTGTCTACAACCCAGAGCTATGATACTAGATGTAACTTATGTAATTTACCATGTGAAAGTGAACCAGAAGGGGCAGTGATATTATTACTTGGGGAAACTATACCTATAACAGAATAGGGTTGGGAGACGTGTTCATAATCGGATAAAATTGAAAACAATTTTCAATGACCTTTGAATAAGTGACGCTACATTGTAGAAGTCTGTTTTAGACATTTCAGTTACGGTGTTGAAAAAAAAATACGGTTTGTAAACTTTTTTATTTCTTACTTTGTTCCTCATCTCCAAAACAATGTTTATGTACTTGAGTCTGGAAGGCAAAGCGTTTTTTGAAGTTTTGTTGGAAAAAAGAAAAAAAAAATCATGTTTCACACTTCACTGTAGTTCACTATTTGTAGTGCTATTCTTTACTCTGAAACCAGAATGTTCCTGGGGTTGTTTCCAATTTGAAATCAATAAAGAATGAAATATAACAACTGTCCTGTAACTTAGGTTTGACATCCTGTTTCCTGTTTGGTATCTAAAACTCTACAGAATGGTTTCAGAAACTGTTCTGCTATCACAGTCTGGGTTATGATATGCTTGCTTTATCATGACCTATTGTAAGATCCAGAAGTCTATCAAACACAACCTGTTGTAGTTTTTTCCAGTTAGTTTGTGGTTTTGTTTATGGGCAGGTGTTTGGTATCTGTGTTTGCTCAAGTCTGGTCAATATCACAGTGTATAACAGTCCGGATATTTCTTGGGATCAGTTATCTCCCTTGTGAGAATTCAAACATTAATGGGTAATTTTATCAGGGAGTTATCTACCATGACTTATTTGAGTTACTTAGTCTGTCATTGATAATTTCAAACAAAATGTATAATTCTGTGAATGAGTTATTTCTCCTGATGTGGCCAAACTATTGTCTAGATCTGATTGGTATAGGTGAGTTGTTTCCCCTGATTTGTGTGAATTACCTCCCCTGCCACTGTAAACAAACATGTTGTGCTTCTTAAAAAAGGTGATGTAAAGTATAACAACAGATGAGGACTTCAACTTGGAACCTCAAAACTCTTGACTTGGTGCTCTTATGAATTAAACTATTTGCCTTGGTCACTGCCTGAAACATCCTAAATGTTTTCGTGACCTATCTTCTGTGTTGGATGGTAGTTATACACTGCTGTCCCCTGTCTGTGCCTACAACTCAACATGTACTTAAAATTAAAACAGTTGCCGGATATTTGTTCCATAACACACTTCCTGATCTTCACATAACATGGCTTGCAGAGTATAAGTATGAATTATATAGCTAGCATAAGACTGTATACATATATGGTTTAAAATTATTGACATGGTAACTTTCTGTTACCAGGGTGTTACTGAAATTGACTTGGTATTGTTTACGTAGAAAGATTTACCAATATTTGAATCATCAGAAAATAAGAAAGAATAATGGCCTTGGTTGATTTTCAGCTCTGCAAGCAAAAGATGTTACATGATTTTCTAGATCTGTGAGGGATGATAATGAGGAAGAATATGTACAAATGACTTAAACATAATTTTTTGCAGAATCGTGAAGGGAAGGGTACTCTTTATCCCTTACCAAAATAGGTACAATTGTATAATTTTTTGGTAACTTTTGATAAAGGTACAAGAAACCATATCAATTAAAATTTTCAAACAGATTTCTTTCCCTATTTCCTGATTTTACACTTGAGTCTTTGTCAGCATTTTTCAGATTTATCAATCGATTGTTTTAAGCTTGGTAACTATCTGAAACCTGACTTGGTTAGATGGTGCAGCAAAGGCCTTCAGGTACAGAAAATTAGATCAAATGTAGGCAAAAGTTCTACAGTTTGCCTAACATGAATCAAGATAATCTAAGTCTGTTCTGGTTTATTTGACATAGATAAAGGCCATCTGAGTTTGTCCTGGTTTATTTGACATAGATAAAGGTGGTCAAAGTCTGTCCTTGTTTATTTGACATAGAAAAGGTTGTCAAAGTCTGTCCTAGTTTATTTGACATAGATAAAGGTTGTCAAAGTGTGTTCTAGTTTATTTGACGTAGATAAAGGTCATCAAAGTCTGTCCTAGTTTATTTGACATAGATAAAGGTCGTCAGAGTCTGTTCTAGTTTATTTGATATAGATAAAGGTCATCAAAATCTGTCCCAGTTTATTTGACATAGGTAAAGGTCGTCAAAGTCTGTCCTGGTTTATTTGACATAGATAAAGGTTGTCAAAGTCTTTCCTAGTTTATTTGACATAGAAAAGGCCGTCAAAGTCTGTCCTAGTTTATTTGACATAGATAAAGGTCATCAAAGTCTGTCCTAGTTTATTTGACATAGATAAAGGTCGTCAAAGTCTGGCCTTGTTTATTTGACATAGAAAAGGTCGTCAAAGTCTGTCCTGGTTAATTTGACACAGATAAAGGTCATCAAAGTCTGTCCTTGTTAATTTGACATAGAAAAGGTCGTCAAAGTCTGTCCTTGTTAATTTGACATAGAAAAGGTCAAAGACTGTCCTTGTTAATTTGACATAGATAAAGGTTGTCAAAGTCTGTTCAGGTTTATTTGACATAGATAAAGGTGGTCAAAGTCTGTCCTTGTTTATTTGACATAGATAAAGGTCGTCAAAGTCTGGCCTCGTTTATTTGACATAGAAAAGGTTGTCAAAGTCTGTCCTTGTTAATTTGACATAAATAAAGGTCATCAAAGTCTGTCCTTGTTAATTTGACATAGAAAAGGTCGTCAAAGTCTGTCCTTGTTAATTTGACATAGAAAAGGTCATCAAAGTCTGTCCTTGTTAATTTGACATAGATAAAGGTCATCAAAGTCTGTCCCAATGTATTTGACATCAGTCATGGTCATCAAGACATTATATGACACAGAAAGTTACTTTACATAACAATGACTGCCAGTACAGGCAATATTTGTGACAATATTAAATTCAGTGCAGTCAAAATATGCGTAAAGGAGTGCTTAAGTTTACCAAATGCAATATTGATATATTTAACACTGGTTCACAATGTAAGATGCAGGTGTGGTATATGGGTCCAATTTTCTACATTATGTACATAGGACATGTTTGAAAGACGTAAAATTGTCAGGATTTCCTCCTCAATATGCTTTTTAAAAACTGTTTCACAGTTAAGTTATACACTAAGGATTTGAGTTGAATTCTATAAAACCAATTAGTAAATATCAGTCGTATTGCTGGCAATTTTTTTGCATATTTTGATGTTAAGTGCAAGTCGTAAATGACGTCAATACTAACCCCATCGTAAGCTATGATCTTTATTCATTGTACATTGTTATTTGCTGGCAGTAAAAGATGCTTGTCTCTGATGTATTAAGTTAGCTATAGTAGACATTTGCTGTGTTTATACAGTCACTTTCAATTTGCTATTGTGAGGAGATAAATCTTTTATTGATCTGTTCTATATTTACAGAAACTGGACATGGACCGAAGTGGGCTGAACAAAATGAAGAAATCTATCAAAGCTCTGTACAACTCTGTCAAACGTAAGAATTTCTAACTCTGTCAAACAAGAATTTCTAACTGTCAAACGTAAGAATTTCTAACTCTTGTCAAACATAAGAATTTCTAACTCTTGTCAGACGTAAGAATTTCTAACTGTCAAATCTAAGAATTTCTAACTGTAAAATCTAAGAATTTCTAACTCTGTCAAACAAGAATTTCAAACTGTCAAACGTAAGAATTTCTAACTCTGTCAAACGTAAGAATTTCTAACTCTTGTCAGACGTAAGAATTTCTAACTCTGTCAAACGTAAGAATTTCTAACTGTCAAATCTAAGAATTTCTAACTCTGTCAAACAAGAATTTCAAACTTTCAAACGTAAGAATTTCTAACTCTGTCAAACGTAAGAATTTCTAACTCTGTCAAACATTAGAATTTCTAACTCTGTCAAACAAGAATTTCTAACTGTCAAACATAAGAATTTCTAACTCTTGTCAGACGTAAGAATTTCTAACTCTTGTCAGACGTAAGAATTTCTAACTGTCAAATCTAAGAATTTCTAACTGTCAAATCTAAGAATTTCTAACTCTGTCAAACAAGAATTTCAAACTGTCAAACGTAAGAATTTCTAACTCTGTCAAACGTAAGAATTTCTAACTCTTGTCAGACGTAAGAATTTCTAACACTGTCAAACGTAAGAATTTCTAACTGTCAAATCTAAGAATTTCTAACTCTGTCAAACAAGAATTTCAAACTTTCAAACGTAAGAATTTCTAACTCTGTCAAACGTAAGAATTTCTAACTCTTGTCAAACGTAAGAATTTCTAACTCTGTCAGACGTAAGAATTTCTAACTGTCAAATGTAAGAATTTCTAACTCTTGTCAAATCTAAGAATTTCTAACTATGTTAAACAAAGAATTTCTAACTCTGTCAAACATAAGAATTTCTAACTGTCAAATCTAAAAATTTCTATCTCTTGTCAAACGTAAGAATTTCTATCTCTTGTCAAACGTAAGAATTTTTAACTGTCAAATCTAAGAATTTCTATCTCTTGTCAAACGTAAGAATTTCTATCTCTTGTCAAACGTAAGAATTTCTAACTGTCAAATCTAAGAATTTCTTTTGCTTGTAAGAATTTCTAGCTGTCAAACATAAGAATTTCGAACTCTGTCAAACATTAGAATTTTCTAGCTCTGTCAAACATAAGAATTATCGGACAAGACAAGCAAGCTGAGCTTTCCTATTAATATTGTGGTTTAATTCCTAACAGCATGAACTTGTTTCAATAAAGTATAGGTTTGAAGTTGGGCACAGAACCATTGGCATGGGTTCAGAGTACCTGTTTATACGCTTGTTATTTTCCTTCAAGTATCAGGGGTATTTATTATGTGTAAACATCTCAGCCTATTACTGAAGTATACTTAGTATCTGATGAGATAATCTTCCTCAAGATCTCCACCTGAAAAACAGTTCACTGACAGGTATATTACATATACACTGTCAGAAATATATATAATTAAATTCAATCCACCTCGTCTGAATAAACGCTTGGTAGCTTCTTTTCTCTGTGATAGACATTTATTTTGATTTAAAAGAAAAAAAAAACACTTTTACTTTAGGAGAAGTTTCTTCAAACACAGGCATCGTGTATTTGTGTCATGTCTGCTAAAATGATTATTCATTGAATCACCTCATGACTACTGATAGATTGTCATGTTCATGCATGATGAATGTATTATTCAGCGTAAATTCCAATCTTTCTAATGATTGAGGCATGTCTTATCATAACTTAATGGAATTACAATATAGAGAAAATTTTTGCTGCTGTTAAATTTCGACAGTTTCGTTCTCTTGCCTAATCTTTGTATCCCACTCATCACTCTTTTTTTGGTTCTACTCAATTTCCTGTATTTTATGACCCGATTTAGGGCCGAAAGGCTGTAATAATGGACATAAAACCTGTTAACTTAAATAAACAATTTTAGCAAATACTGTTAAACACCAGAGGTTGGCTTAAGTTGGATTTTAAAATATTTACAAAAACAATTGGTCCCACAATGTAAAATTTAAGTATTTCCAGAAATTACATAAATCCCATCGAGATTCTTCAAGGGGAGGAGTCACAATTGGCCCACCCCTGACTTTGATGATGAAGTGTCAGACCTCCGGGTTTATTCACGATAGATATATGCTGTATGAGGGTTATGTTCTGTGTTACCTAGGATGGTGATCATGGTGATCGATCGTTGTGTCAGGCTACATCCTTTAACCCTGTCTATATTAAGTCATTATATATTAACTACGGCCTGCCATGAAGAGTTCTTGGAAAATCTTGAGGGATTATTGGAGTATTTCCAATATTGATAGGGTTTCCTACTGATGATTCCTGAAAGTAATTATCTTTGAAGTGGAATTTTACCTTAATGATCAGAACACCTTAGAAGTGCTTTATTTAGAGTTCCAAGGTCAAGGACACCATTTTCACTTTATTTAAAAGTCAGAAACCTTAGAAGTGCTTTGTTGAGGGTTTCAAGGTCAATGCTTTTTTGGGGTTCCAAGGTCAAGGACACCATTTTCACTTGATTTAAAAGTCAGAAACCTTAGAAGTGCTTTGTTTAGGGCTTCAAGGTCAAAGCTTTATTTAGGGTTTCAAGGTCAAGGACACCATTTTCACTTGATTTAAAAGTCCAAACACCTTGGAAGTGCTTTGTTTAGGGTTTCAAGGTCAATGCTTTATTTATGGTCCTAAGGTCAAGGTCACCATTTTCACTTATTACAAAAGTCAGAATACTATAGTAGTACTGGTATTTAGGGTTCCAATGTATTACTTGATACAATTTAAGGTTACAAGGGCAACATTACTATTAAAACTACTTGAGTGGTGGAGTACGTACCAGTTGTTTTAGGTCACATAGGCGTATATATCCAGCTTTCCCAAGTAGTGTCATATTTTAAGTATGACATATTGAGGCAGTGAAAGTTAGTCTTTTATCTTTGAATTTATTCAATTTCACTCCATATAATGATTTGTTTTTGTTTTAAAGGACCTTCGTAAATTACTGCACTATCTTTTTAATTTAATCATCAAGTGTCTGTTTCAAATTAGATAGGTTTGTAAATGTGCCTGAGCTATGAACAAATTGAAAAATTGCGTGAGTGCTTCAAGAGCTTTATTGATGAAGTAATTAGCTACCATTTTAGTGATATGTTTGTGACAACAGAAGGATGCAGTACAACAGTTGACTTAGTGTGGAGACATCATATTCATGTTAACAGCCTCATATTTCCTACTTGGCAAATGAACAGGTCAGTGCTGTTTTAGGAACAACCAAGGAAATGCTGACTTGTTATCAGAACCTTCAGACTAAGTTAGAAGAAATAATGGCAGAATAAGAACAGAAATGAGTTAGAATAAGATCAGTGTAAACAAATCATTACCGGGACTTTTTTTATAGGAAATTTGTTGCTGTGAGTGAAAACGATATTCATTGATACATGGCCAGTAATTCGGTAGAAAGGGGCGAGGGGGGGGAGTTGGGGGATTGAGGGGATGTGCTGAGGGAGGGGGGAAAGGGGCGAGGGGGGGTTGGGGAGTTGGGGGGGTTGAGGGGATGTGCTGAGGGAGGGGAAAGGGTGAGGTGGGGGGTTGGGGAGTAGAGGGGTTGAGGGGATGTGCTTAGGGAGGGGGGAAAGGGTGAGGGGGGGAGTTGGCGGGTTGAGGGGATGTGCTGAGGGAGGGGGGAAAGGGGCGAGGGGGGGTTGGGTAGTTGGGGGGGTTGAGGGGATGTGCTGAGGGAGGGGGGAAAGGGTGAGGTGGGGGGTTGGGGAGTAGAGGGGTTGAGGGGATGTGCTTAGGGAGGGGGGAAAGGGTGAGGGGTGGGGTGAGAGACTAGATGGTGATTCACACTTCTTTTTACTGTGATGATTGGTTGTATTGATCTGAGCAGATCTGAGAAGCTTGGTTCAACACTGACTACCCATGTCGGTTTATGTTTTTCAGGAAGCTGAGAAACGATATGTTGTGACATGATTTGTCTTTTGAAAAGAAATTTTACTGCAGAATTGTGAATTTTTATGGGAGATTTATTTTTGTAAATTTCGTGGGTACTTTAAATTCCATGAACTTTTTTTTGGTATATTTATGATAAACAGATTTATGTTGATATCAATTACATGGTACAAGTTTTCTTAGTGATGAAGATTTATCATTGAAATGCCAATGTAAATCAGTGTTTTTGGAAAAACCATGAAATTTTAGCACTACATTAACAGTACCCTAATTGGTCTGGATGATATGTGACAGTCCTCCCCAATGATGTTCAGTGAGATAGCTAGCTACTTCAAGGCGATTCCACTTCAAAATGACAGTGACTGTTGACAATTTGATAAACAAGAACAACATTTTGACATTTCATTATAACAGCACATTGACTCTGGAAAAGTGCACTTTCATCTTGCAATTTAGTTCAAAGGCTTTGATTTCAAAAGGGAAAATATCGATGGAAAAAAACACAATTAAAAACAGATATAGAATTTCAGTCTGTTTGGACTCCTGGTTAGGGACATAACTATAAAAAGCTTCATCTTCTTACGTAGCCTTTCTGGTCACCAGACTCAATTGACAAAAATTCAGCTATCCCACATTTTAAAGTTGTGACAGATGGTTAGGTACTAGTACATAAGTACATAAATATTAGGGTGATGTATCTGCCCCATCCTCATTTATATACTGTTTGGATGAATCACAAATATATTTCTTGTTTGTTGTTGATCATCAGTGGGAGTCAGATGGATTCATCTGTGTCCACGGAGCTCAACTTGTGTGGTGCACTGCTGGCTTGGCTTGTTGTCAAAACCCTGACTCCTATACTTGTGTTAGGTTGTGATCTCATACTACATCAAGTACACACAGTCATCTCGTGTGGCTAGGTTATATCATAAAAATCCTTTGAGAAAGACATTTGATACATAGATATAATATGAATGTGTAATTGTTTCATTTTTATAGAATAATTTAGACAGAATAGAGCATTTTGATATGGAATGTAGATAAAGTTGTCTGTACATAGGGTTAAGCAATTAATACTTGTATTTTTTTCCCTCATATTTTACTTGCAAGATCCATTCATGATTTTGTTGCCTGTAGGTGTACAAGTCAGATGCAAGTTCTGATTCACCATTCTGTGAAACCTGTGACTTTTATGATATGATTGCATTTGCACATTTGTCCATCTTTCTATTTATCTGTGTGTGGGATACTTGCTTTAAGATATCTTCTAAACATTTGAATATTCCTAATGTCTTTTGACTAGACAATGGTGATGTAAATGCTGTAAAGATTCCATCTGTATATTGATGGGCCTGTCCTTCCTTGGTTTGTTTGTTTATATTTTTAGAGTAATAAACAATGTTGGAAACTAGAAGTTTGATTTAGATGTTAAACAGATGCTGCCCTTAGTGCATGGTGTAAGCTAACTGTTATTACCTTCGTGGTAGTTGTTTTATGAAACAGACTATAGACAGATATACCTAAGTCTATTATCTTGTCAATGAAGATGTATGTGTTGTCAGATTTCATCGCCTTCAGACATGCTCAGATGTCTCTCAACAACAGGTTGCTGAGGCTGTTTGGGATGAGGAAGGGGAGGGGGAAGCTATTTAAGATGGGGAGGGGAGGGGAGACTGTGTGAGATGGAGAGGGGAGGCTGTTTGAGATGGGGAAGGGGAGGGGGAAGCTGTTTGAGATGGGGAGGGGAGGGGAGACTGTTGGAGATGGAGAGGGAAGGGTAGGGGAGGGGAGGGTATTTGAGATGGGAAAGGGGAAGGGGAGGCTGTTTGAGATTGGGAGGGGAGGGTATTTGAGATTGGAAAGGGGAGGGGAAGCTGTTTGAAATGGGGAGAGGAGGAGTATTAGTATTTTTTATACTTTTTAAAGTTGAACTGTGCAATAAAAAACACCACAAACTGGTAAATCAGATGGAATGTCAGCAACATATTATAAGTAATATTTTCTTATCATAAATAATCGTCGTCCTTATCAATTAAATAATGAATGAAAATAATTCTATGACAAGTTAATTTCAGTATTTAATTTAAGTTACATGTTTTTATAGAAAAGTATTAAATAGGCACTAATACTTTCTTTAATCTATGAAATGAATGTTAGACATCAGAAAGACTAAATATTGAATGTTAAGCGGACTAAATAGAATAAGAAAATATATCTGTATATTTTGATTAAAATGACACTTAGATGACTTATTAAACCGATTCATGTCTGACCAACTATTTATAATTCTTCTCTTTGGTCGTCACCACAACCTAATGTATTGTTTTCATGTCATAATTAGGGCTTTTCACTAAGTGGTGAAAAGACCTATTGTTTTTTTCGGTTTCTTATTATTCTTCTTATTATTATTCTTCTTCCAATTTTGTGGGTTCCTAATCTTTTAAATTGAAATATATAGATATACATTCTATTCACCTTTATGTAGATACGTATATGAACTTGTCGATGCCAAATTTTTAAGTAGGTCAAAAATCCAATATGGCCGCCATGACGTCATAAGTTAAAAACTTAAAAACGAAGATATCTCCAAAATCCTTATCTAAATTTTTGTCATGACATGTTATCAGAGAATATGTCAAATAAAAAAGCTCGCTGTTTGGTGAAGTTTTCAAAATTTGATCGATGCAGAACATCCTTCCGATGAATTTAATGTTTTGTTTTTCGGTAGATTGTCGCCAAAGAAGTGAAAAGCCTGCAAAATTGTTAGCAACAATTTCTAGTTTTGTTTTTATTTTGAATGATTAAGAAAACATATGCAAACAAGTTTACTTTCAATATATATTGGAATGAAATATGTTTAATTGCGAACTGTTGAAAGTTACATTCAGCCCAATTTCCCTGCTATCTGCATTAGTAAACTCAAAACAGATAAATATACTGTAAAGGGACTTATCTTAGAAGTCATGTAATTTTAGGATTGAATATTCATGTCAGCAGTACCAAAATCTGATTGTGCTAAATACATTTGTTGTATACTGTTTATGTATCAATGTGCTAAATTGCTAAAAAGAAAAAAGGATGATGTGCTCAAATTTGATTGTGTCAACTGAAGTCGAGTTCATTTATAGTAATCAATCATGACAAAAACAAAGCAATTGATTCGTTTATCTATAAACATCAGCTGTGGCAGCTCATTTGCATAATGAAGCTCTGATGGAGATTGTTTATGACATCAATGATTCCTACTGGCACTAACTTGTCAAAGAAATGATATTATAAACAATTACATGATGCTGAAAGATCATGATGGATTGAAACATAATAATGGGCCCCATGCATGCATATGCAGTCTCCCTCTGAGGCAAGTGTTTTGACTCATTATGAGTGATTCTATACTGTTCTATCAATGAAACAAGTATTTGTTTTTATCATATTTAGTGTAATTTGTCTTAACAGGTCATGTTGACAATGAGGGAACCTTCGCAGAAAATCTGGATAATCTTGGTCGGGGACGAGTTGACCAGGAAGTTGAAATAAGTAAGTTACTGTTAATCTGACAATACCTTTACCAGGAAGCTTGTTGCAGCTGTATAGTCTCCTGTTTTAGTACCCTAATAGTACTGCTAAATCTATATTCGACATGCATTCCACATAGAGTAATTGGATGGGTTGATGATCAAGGACCATCCGCATGGTTCCAATATAGAGTTGCTGCCCTTAGTTTATCTGTTACAAACAGGATATCCTCTGATTGGTCAATATTTAGATAATTTTCTAACACAAGATGAAAAACCGAGACTCTTTTTTCGGCCATGTGCAAATTTTGCTATATATTCTTAAAACCAGAATTTTAGTCTTGTCAGATCTTTGCTTTAGGAGAGCTTGAAGTAAAAATATATTGTAACTGAATTACAATTTGTCTGTTCAATATTCTGTGGTTATTCTGAAAACAGTAGTGAAGAAAACTTGCTTTATGGTCTATCATCCCTAAGTTGTCAATGTTTTGAAGTACTGGTGTAAGGAAATGTTCCTCTTAAGTGTTCCAAGGTATTTATTACCTTGTAGGGAACTGTACAATTTTTCCTGTTTCATTCAGCAGTGTTTTATCACAAATATTATCTCAGTATACTCATTTAAACCGGAGTCTCATTCTTCCTGATGCTACAATGGGTATTATCTAAACTAACTATTAGATGAAGGAGTTCCATTTTGAGTGTGTGTACATCCCATCTGCTATTTTGATAAGGTATCAGAAATGCAGTTATTTCCTGTTCATTTCGTGTGAAAGAAAGAGAAGGAAAGACTTCAAAGCAGATTTAATTGACAGCAGTAGATAATTGATTATAAAGTAAACAAAAGCTCTTTAACAGTGAAAATAGTGTTTGACTGAGAAAAATGCTTTTTAAAGAAGATATTTGATTAAGCTCAATGAATATTTGTGTAGCAGTTCTCTGTGGTATCTTTAGAAAGTTTGGTGAGACATGAAAATGTTAAAGTCCCTGATGGTAAGTTTTGTTATCATTTTCATATTTCAATTTTGCAGATGAGGCTTTTTTTAAATTCTCCACTGTGACAAAAGAATTGGCTGGCAGTATGAATGAACTGGTGAGTGTGTGGTATTGGTTTGAATTAGTGTTCACTTGTATGCACCAATTAGTAAGTACCAGATTGTGTGAACATGGTGATATATATATATATATATATGTGAACTGTTAATTATCTTATGTTTATGTTATTTTTTTTTAACCAATTGGTAAACATAGATTATAACAACGAACTGCTTAGGTCATTTGTGAATATAGGGTGTTTTTTGTTATACGACTTTCAAAACAAGTGTCATAACTTAGCAATAGAGTGAGTTCTCAAAATTTAGATAATTTGTAAAGGAAAGCAGCTATTGGTTATAGATGCCATTTTCTTATCCATGATGTTGGTTATTGTAGGATTTCTTCAGCTAAGTCATGATCTTTCTTTTTTTTCTTGAAATTTTAAAGGAGTCCTATTACTAAGAGAAAGAGTGTAAGTTCTCCATTGTGGACAATTCTCACAGTAAAATTATCAATCCAGAAGGAAGATATTCCCCGTCTTAAGTGTTTGTGTTAAGTGATAAGATGGAGTCTGATGAGGATAATGTAAAACATTTCTGTTTCAACAGGTAACAAAATTAAATAGCATGTTACTGTATCCTCTGGATGCCTTCCTCAAGGGGGACCTGAAGGGGGTCAAAGGTGACATGAAAAAGCCCTTTGATAAGGCTTGGAAAGATTATGAAACCAAATTGTAAGTTACATCTGGGATATTTTATCCTTTGATTAGTACAGGAGACAAACATATAACTTATGTAAAAGTCAATATTTGGGCTTATTACAGGGTAATGAAATAGGTGATTGAATACTAATAGATGTGGACTGACTTGTAACCAGATGTGGGGGGAGGGGGGTAAAGACAGATTGAAAGGAAAAACATTTTCCTCAGATTCTCTACTATGATGTTCTATTAATAGGATTATTTATTTAGTTTTTATCCCATTTTATAAATTCAAGCAATGCTTTTCAGTTAATCTCAAACTTCTCTGTACATTTATTAAATAGAAGAAGATTTCTTGAAATCTCTGAATGGATTTCAATTGGGAAGGCACTAATTTAGTTACTCAAAATAAGATTATCTCCCTTTTTTCAGTGCCAAAATTGAGAAGGAGAAGAAACAACAAGCCAAGGAAGCTCACATGCATCGAGTGGAAGTGTGTGGGTCGGAGGTAATTATTGTTAGGTTTGGATACTGTAAAGTGTGTGTTTAATACCGTAAATATTCGCATATAGTGCACACTCGCGTATAGTGCGCAGGTACTTTTTGGAGATCAGATTTAAAAAAAAAAAATCTACAGAAAAATTAATTGACTGGTCACTGCGACGAAACATTTGATGTGGTCTGATCCATTGATAATTAGGAAACCACAATGAGCGTGACCCTAACACCTGTAATTACCTTAAGTAAACAAATTTACCCAGGTGACCTAACAAGCCTGAAAGGCTTGGCTGATTGTATAATTAACGGTTAATGACAGTTAACACGTTGAGTACGAGGAGACTGATGACACCTGGCTTGGGCTGAACGCGTAATATTGGTCAGAAAACGATGTTGTTTTAACTGTCTGAACATTTTCAATCCTACCTTGTCCCCATAAAAGCAGGTGGTTTGTTCAGTATAGGCATGATCTTTCATGGTATCTGTACCCACCGCGGTATCCGAAGGTATTTAATGATATATTGTTTACACCGACTTCGACATGGTGAAACTGCGAACGCCATTTGACTACGCCGAGAGACTGGAGTTTCGTGCCGCCGGTCGCCGCTTCGACATTCAAGAGTGAAATATCAAGGCACGGAAGAAAGAAAAGACCGTTTAAAGTCCCAACCACTGACCAGAAGGGCTGACAAAGGTGCGACAGCAAAACACCTAGAGATGGAGAGAGAGAGAGCTGTTCAACTTTGTATGCGATCGCAGATATCCCGGCATCGCTGCCAGTACAACAGAACTGCGCGTGCGGGCCATGCAGATCAAGAGAGGTCATGGGGTCACCAACTTTGGGCATCGGTGGGATGGGCTGTCCGATTTATGAACAGAACGACAATCGCCTAAAAACATCCGGATTCATTGAATTCCACAGATACATTATCAAAATGAGGCAGAAATTCAAACACTACTATAGCCCCGACCAATAGTAAGACCGACTGGAAACGAAAAAAAAATTATATTCACCGTAATGCTAGCGTGAATGGCAGATGATTAAAACATTTTATTTTTTTGTTGTTTTTATCTCCAAACTATCATATAAGACCGACGACTTTTACATATAATTATGTGAAGGGAGGTAATCCAATATGGCGGATGCAGAACTCGGGAATGATAACCCCAGGAATGGCATGTACCTGCGTATAGTGCGCACCCCCTTTTTGACACGACAGTTTCAGCTTAAAAAAGTGCGCACTATACGCGAATATTTACGGTATATGAATATGTTTTATAAGATATATTCTTGTCCTTGACCTTTATAAACAAACTCCATGATGGAGATGTTGAATTTTTTATTCTTTACAATCATTCACCAAAGCAGTAAATGATAGCTTCATCACAGGATGGTGAATATTTTCAAAATTGGTTTCTTAGGAAATTCTACCATTATGTGGTCACACATTTTCCGTTAACAAAACCTATGTTGTGAGTACAAAGCTTACAGGATTGGTTATATGCCTGTGTCTGTTTAGTTCCTTATTTGACTGGAGTTTATTTGTAAAATAATTTTAAAATTGATGTTATGAGAGATTAAAGTTTACCTGGTAGTTCAGATTTCCATAAAAGTGAATTTGTACAGATCAAGACAGTATTTGAATAGTAATTAATATTTCTTTGTAAAATGAAGCAGTATTTGAGAAGTAAATATAGCTTTTGTTATTCATATTTCCTTACAAAGTAGAATTGTTTTGAGCAATAAAAGATATAACTGAAAATTAATTTATATTTCCTGAGAAAGTTAAAATGGAACTTGGATTTAGGGAGAGTTGCTCATATTTCCTGAAAAAAATCAACCTTATTCAGTACTTGTTTCCTTTAAAAAGTTGGAAATGGTATTGATGATGCATACTGCAGTGTAATTGATATGGTAGAAAGTGTGGCCCTGTTAAACAGTTATCCATATGCAGTATTTATAGAAAGTTAAATTGTTGAGAAATCCATAAAACTACAGCTTTTAATGACCCTAACAGCTTAACATAACATGTTACATCATCAGCAGGCATTGATTTTAATACTATTAATTTCCTGTAATTAAATAACAGTGTCTTTGATAAGCTTAACGAGATGTTGCAAGCACACCTGCAGCAGGTGTGGTCATTGGGACGGATCAATATTGTTGAGTCAGCCCATTGTCCTCCAATACGGAATCAATACCCACGCCTCATGTCAATTATTAAAGCCTCCAGTGTGTGAAAATAAAAAGGAATTAATACTTTCCTCAAGCGCTGAGGATCTTCATTGTTCTGTTAATCTAAAAACAATTAAACACGGTTCTGATGAAGGAAAAACAAGGCAGAAAGAAAAAATAATAAAAGATTAAATTTTCCGAGGTAATCATTTGGTATTGTTTGATAAAATTTTCAACATTACCAGTTTTGTCCTGGTACATTAGCTGTACCTTTGTTACATTCCCAATGTCCCATGATATTTTTGTTTTGCTGTTATGAAAAAAGTTACAGAAATAATTACTTTTCAAACTTTCTCCTCATTCAGACATCTTAGATTTGTCTCATGAAGAGTATTACTGCAATAGAAATCATATTTTGCGTGTAGTTAGATCATGATATGATAGCGGATAATAGTCAAATCACGGATAGCCAGGCGTCACAGTAGTAAGGCTTTCAGGACTCACCTACCTGATCAAGGTCCAATTCCCCAAATGTTAGGGTAATTACCTACCCACCATGTGGCTTTCCCAGAGAAAAATTGTACTACAGTTTCCTCTCACAGTAAGACCGTGTTTGTTGGGTTTATATGCTTATTGGATCTATTGGCCAGTGAACAACTAGGGTCATTTTAAGGGTGTCCTTTTAATAGCTGGCTACCTCACAGAACAACATAAGGGAGGCCTGTTACATTCCCTCCTTAGCATTAGAATGATGTACCTTGTCTAAGGACAAAACAATGTCTACACAGACTGGTCTGAAATGGTTACGGGTTCCCCCTCCTCCCATCTAAAAATATAGCCCAGGGCAGAAAATGAAACTTGAGGGAACTTTGATAATTTGTATGGATGCCTTTAATGATCTTTAGTATAACTTAAAATCTTACACTGTAAAGTTTACTTTAGTGAGGTTTTATAAACAACAAGATTCGAGGATGGAATAAAGTTGCTACAAAAAAAAAAACCAGTTACCTTGAAATTAAAATCAAGGAAGAAAACAGTGGTTCATTTGTTGACTCCTAATATTCATTTTGTGTTAAGCTTTTGGTAAAGTCAAAAAATTGAGCCAAAGAAGAAAAAAAGGAAAAAAAACTTTCAATAAACAAAGTTTACATATATCTATAAAATGAAACTTGTTTAAAACAGAATTTCTTTGATCATAAATAATTGGACCAAGGTCACCTTTCCTGCTAGATTCTGACAATTCTTCCGTTCGATTTGTTTTTCCCACTGACCCTAGCATTCTACTCTTATCAAATTCTTTGTGGGATCTTTCATCTGGTCCAACTTTCAGGTTTAGTGACTGCTAAACATTTTGGTACCTACAGGGATTTTTTAGTGTTATTTGTTTTTGATTTACAGATTGCTGAGGAAATGGAGAAGGAGAGAAAGGTTTTCCAGCTACAGTTGTGTGAGGTAGTCTATCATAACATCATTCTTCTTTGTTTCTGTCACCTTCATAACCTGATGTGTCCCCTTCAGTTTAATCCAAACTGTCACAGATTGATGATTAAATGGATGTTTGTTTGAACATGATTGAAAGAAAATCTTTTAAACAAATTTACAAGCAGTGAACAAATTCCATTTTTAGGTCATCTGACCCGAAGGGTCCGATGACCTATAGTCATCATGCTTCGTCCGTCGTCGTCCGCCGTGGGCTGTGCGCCGTCCGCCGTGCGCCGTCCGTAAACTTTTCATTCAAACGACTTCTTCTCAATAATTGGAAGGCCCAGGCAACTAATATTTGGCCTGTAGCTTGCTTTGATGAAGCCCTACCAAGTTTGTTAAAAAGAATGACCTTGACCTTCATTCAAGGTCACAGGGGTCAAATGTCTTAAAATCTTCAAACGACTTCTTCTCAATAACTGGAGGGCCCAGGCAACTAATATTTAGCCTGTAGCTAAAGTTTGTTCAAATGAATGACCTTGACCTTCATTCAAGGTCACAGGGGTCAAATGTCTTTAAATCTTCAAAGGACTTCTTCTCAGTAATCAAAAGGCCCAGGCAACTAAAATAAGGCCTGTAGCATGCTGGGATGAAGGACTACCAAGTTTGTTCAAATGAATGACCTTGACCCACTTTAAAGGTCACAGAGGTCAAATATGTTAAAATCTTGAAACAACTTCTTCTCAATAACCAAAAGGCTCAGATTGCTGATATTGTGCCTGTGGCATGCTGGGATGAAAGGCTATCAAGTTTGTTTAAATGAATGACCTTGAACAACTTTCAAGGTCACAGGGGTCAAATATGTCAAAATCTTTAAATAACTTCTTCTCAAATACTAGAAGGCCTAGGGGGCTAATACTTGGCCCATAGCATGCTGGCATGGAGCCCTACAAAGTTTGTTCAAATGAATGACCTTGGCCCACTTTCAAGGTCACAGGGGTCAAATATGTTAAAATATACAAAGGACTTCATCTCAATAAGCAAAAGTCTATGAGTGCCGATATTGGGTCTGTAGCATGCTGGGAGGAAAGGCTACCAAGTTTATTTAAATGAATGACCTTGAACAACTTTCAAGGTCGCAGGGGTCAAATATGTCAAAATCTTTAAATAACTTCTTCTCAAATACTAGAAGGCCTAGGGGGCTAATACTTGGCCCATAGCATGCTGGCATGGAGCCCTACAAAGTTTGTTGAAATGAATGACCTTGGCCCACTTTCAAGGTCACAGGGGTCAAATATGTTAAAATATACAAACGACTTCCTCTCAACAAGCAAAAGTCCATGAGTGCTGATATTGGGCCTGTAAGATGCTTGGAGGAGAGGCTACCAAGTTTGTTCAAATGAATGACCTCAACCCACTTTCTAGGTTTGGCTTGCTTTTTGTCAGATGACCGTTAAGGCCCATGGGCCTCTTGTTTATAATATTCCATAAAAGTCCGTACAATCTTGATAGCATTATTCCTTTGAAACCTGAAGACTATAGAATAGTCATCGGCAATGCCATTATGAAAGCAGAAATTATATACTGAATAATTGTTTCTGTTGTATAATTTGTTGATAGTACTTTCTGAAAGTGAACGAGATCAAGACGAAGAAGGGTGTGGACCTACTGCTCCATCTAGTGGACTATTATCGAGCTCTTACAACGTATGTATATTAATGACCATATGACCATTAATGGCCCCTCAACTCCTCAATAACAGAGTTGTTGCCCTTTGTAGTAGGATAACAAACCTTGGTGTATGTATTGATCATACTGAGACAATGTGCCTTGTGCCAAATTCAGGACGCACAACATCTTAATTACAGAGTTATTGACCTTTGTGGAAATCATGTGTCTACAGCAAAACTTTAAATTGCATGCATTTAAAGTAGTAAAATAAAACTTGGTGTAAACATTGATCATACGAAGGTAATGTGCAGTGTACAAATGTTGGGACCCACAACCCCTTAATTACAGAGTTATTGCCCTTTGTTAAAATTTTGTTTTCGGAGCATATACTTTGCTTGCATTTAAGGTAGGACAAAGAAATTGGGTTAACAATGATCATACAGAGATGTATACATCAGTCATACCAAAGCAAGGGGCAGTGGAGCTAAGTCTGGGCACTTGATCCCTTACAACCCCTTGATTTCAGAGTTATGGCCCTTTGTTAAAATTTTGTGTCCAATAAAGTTGATTTCGGGGAGCAGTCATCAGCTTCACTGGTACTCTTGGTTTTTTTGTTTTTTTGTTTATGTGTGTGTATATGTGCAAGATACAATTTGTTTAGTTTGTTTAGTTTGTATTTCTTGAACATTGATTAATTTAGATGTGATTTGCCATGAATGGTATTATCAGATATTTCTCTAACAAAACACTTACTGGTTTTCAGATTTTATCAAGAAGGCCTCAAAACCATAAACCATTTCCAGTCGTTTATAGAAAACCTCGTTATCCAGCTCAACCAGATAAAACAACAACAGAATAAGGAACGTCAACAGCTTATCGACCTCCGCGACTCTCTCAAGGAAACAATGACGTCATATAAAGAGGTATGATAACACTCACCCAATATCATAATAAAAATTCTAGAGATGAAAATATATGTAAGATAGGTCTTAGATTTCTGTCAGAACCAATATCTTCTCCTGTACAAAATTCCCTGATATCTCTGTTACATAGTAATTTCTGATCATACAGCCTCATCTGTCAAAATAAAATCAGCTTTGATAATAATATACTGTATTGCAAGCCATATACCAAGAATTTGTCTACCCTGTGATAGCATGGTATGTTAGATAACCCATCCACTAATATATTGAATGTTATAGATTGTTAATCCTCCTCACTGGTCTAATACTATGTCAACAGATTATGTCCAAGCAGTTCACCCACACATCTATCCTTGATATGCTGTCTATGGGGAAATATTGGCCCAGGGTAATTTTTGCCCTCCCATTAAAATATCTGTCGTCGCCCAGTGTTAGATTCACCGTAAAGCATATTGAAATACTTTTCAACTTAATTAAAACATTCAGCTGCCATTTTATTTTTGATTTATTGACAAAATGGTGAAATAGGTTAGTGTTTGCCTGCATTCAGTATACACAATCATCTTCTCTGCATCTTATATTTATATCATTTTATATATACTATACTAGTAATCTTTATTGATTGTGATTGGGTATTTCCAATACTACTATGTTTGTTTTTTATGCTGTTGTCACATTGTAAAAGGAAAGGCATGTTACTAATACCCATCCTTCCTTTCCTGTGTAACGAGAGATTTCTCAGGACTTTTGGGGCTGATTATATGCAGTTAACTCCTAAAGCTTCCAAATTCCCAGAGTTTCTTCCCAAATTAAGTGAAGACATATCCCAAACCACTGAAAAATGACCTGCATTACAAATAAGTGTCATATCTGTGAGAGCCTCTCAACAGATTTGGCTCATTTGTTCTACTACTTAACTAAATGAAGTGGTCTTTGGTTGCAGTCAAAGGCCAAATACAAAAATTCTGTAAATTTATCAAACAAATGATTTTTTTTTTTTTTTCTGAGGGTATTCATGTTTTACATACATTTTCTAGTTTTGTAAATAAATCATTGTAGTGCCAAGTTTTAATCCAGTGATAGATATTACATCAGTCATCAAAATATTTCTAAGACATGAATATATCACTCCTAATGTTAATTAGTATCATTGTTACACAAATTTCTATAAATAGTAAATTAGTAAGGGTGACCTTGACTTAAAACACTAAATCAGTAAAAGTATTCTCTGTGTATAATTAAAGAAATGAAAATGATGGGCGATTGAAATGACTCGTTATACAGAAATTTCTGGACTGTGACAAATATATCTTGTTTGAGTGTGTATTACCTACTGATGTCCTTCTTCCTCCTTTACATCACCTCACATTTCACTTCCATTCTCTGTGGTTTAATAATATACCTGTACAGGTGTACTAATATTTGTGACGTTTGTTCCTACAAGCATTCCCATAACCGGATCTCCATAGCAGGCTGGGTAACCTATCACTGAGTGTTGTAATGTGTTTCTGTTTATGTCAATATTGGTATTTATTGTGTATCGCTTCAGGTTTGGGAAAAGTTTAATTTTGTAATTTTTCTTGGCAACTTTTTGGGAAATTAGCATTTCTTTGTAAATTTCAATTTGTCGGTGAAAGACAATCACTAAATCAGTGAAGCAATTTACTTCCTGCTAATTGCTTATTCGAATATAAATGACACCTAATGGTTAAGCAAGAACATGTATATTCATTGTCTTGATATCCTGGGTAAATCTTGTTTCCTAAATCCATCAATACTGAGATCATTTTGTGGACATATAAATTTGTGAATAAAAATCAAAGATTTTACAGTACTTCTTATAACATTGTGAATTAGGTTTAGTCCTTTCGTGATTTGCATGGCTGGTGGTGACGGCTGAATGTGAATATTAGTGTTGCTTGATATCTCTTTCTTTTTGTTAATCTTCAAAACCATGCTCCCCTCAGATGATACATATGAAAAGGTAGTAAGTTTAATAGTTTTCATGCATGCTGTTATAGAAAACTTGTTTGATTTTTCATGTTTTTCCCGAAATGTTGTAAGCAAAAAGTATTTTCATATTCATCCCCAATGCTGTACACTGTAGATGGGGAAACTTTTCCCACAGAGTAACTTTTATCCTATGACATATAGAGCAAAATAAAAAGTGGGCAATAGTAACGGAAGTAATAGTATAGTTATAGTGTATGATATGGTTTCTTGTTACCTGTAAGTCATTTTTTGTGGTGACAAATGTTGCTATAGATATTTGGTTTTGTTACCTGGAGATGATGATATTAAAGAAAATGTGTAGTTCTTTGTTGGCTCCTCAAGAATTTATTGGAATGTCTTAGAAAGTCTGTGATGCCTGTTTATGGAAACTATTTTAAAAAATAAATCAATCTACACATATCTCAAAGAAGAGTTTATATATTGTTATGTAAGCAATATGAGTATAGTTATATATATATATGCCAGCCTTTTACGTTGATCAGCTGGGGAAAGAAGGGAAGATAACTCTTTAACTTAAATATATGTGTAGTGTTAACAAATGAATTGATTAAGAAATCCATTGTGACAGCCAACATCCAGTAAACCTCACACCGGCTATAGCTTACACCAGCTTCAAGGGAACAAAGCCCATGGCTGTGTGCGGGATGGCTACCTACTCAAGAAAAGTGAGGGACGCATCAAAAAAGTCTGGCAGAAAAGGAAATGTATTATTACAGATGGACTCATGTTTATCAGCCACTCAGATGTAAGTATACAGGTCACATGGTCTTTTAACCCACCAATCAGGTTACAGATCATGAGTACACAAGTCACATGACTATATCATTCACTCCATCAAGTGTAAATATACATGTCACATATTTTTATGTTTTGAGATAAATGTTGGCTTGATAACATAGGCAAACTGCTACAAAAGATGTTTCATCCAGATATTTTATATAAATTTGTATATCTGATTGCCATACAGAAAGTAAACTGCTGTTGAGAAGGAACTTTGTTACAAAGTAAAAACAAATTGCATAATGGCATATATTTAGTGGGAGGTATAGATGTGCTATTCAACATGATTGTTCATGTGTTTATAACACAATGTGCAATACAACAACACACAATCATTATTTTATTATAAGTCATTTAAAGAAGATGAGGCAAAAGTGTTCATCGTTCTACCATTATTCTCTGCAGCATGCTTTCTCTATACTGCTGAAATTGAACAGTGTTGGGATTATAAATTTTTACACAATTCTCCTCAGTAAAGTTCCAGACACTGAAATAATGTTTGTCAGATCCTCAGCACAATCATAACTTGGACTGGTCAAAGAATACAGTATTAAATAGTCATTCACAGGCCACATGCATTCATGGACAGTGAGCATTCATGGACAGTGAGCATTCATGGGCAGTGAGCATTCATGGACAGTGAGCATTCATGGACAGTGAGTGTTCATGGACAGTGAACGTAAATGGACACTCAGCGTTCATGGACAGTGAGCGTTCATGGGCAGTGAGCGTTCATGATCAGTGAGCGTTCATGGACAGTGAGCATTCATGGACAGTGAGTGTTCATGGGCAGTGAGCGTTCATGATCGGTGAGCGTTCATGGACAGTGAGCATTCATGGACAGTGAGTGTTCATGGACAGTGAGCGTTAATGGACACTCAGTGTTCATGGACAGTGAGCGTTCATGGGCAGTGAGCGTTCATGATCAGTGAGCGTTCATGGACAGTGAGCATTCATGGACAGTGAGTGTTCATGGACAGTGAGCGTTAATGGACACTCAGCGTTCATGGACAGTGAGCGTTCATGGATGATCGCTATGTGACAGCCTTTGACCAACCTCAGGGTAATTGAATACCCTGTATTACTCTAACCATTGACATGGTCAAAAGGAGTTTGACTTAGCAAGGTTTTACTGTATACTAATCTGGTGTCATCATACAGGTCATTGGGTTTTAGTTCATTTGTCACTTGGTTATTATCAAACAAATGAAGTGCAGTGAAATGATTTGCCCTTTAATAGAATGAAAAAACCTCGTTCAGTTTCACACACTTCTAGAAAGAGGAAAACAGCACTTTAAAGCTCTTTTATTTTCTTTCCAGGAAAGCAAAGACCCAGTGAAATTAAATCTTCTTACCTGTCAAGTCAAGGTATTGTCTTCTTAGTAAACTATACAATATTGACCATAAATAAGGATTAAAATTCTTGGAAATTTGATTTACTCAATGATTCATACTTGTGGAAATACAATCTACTATTATTAGTTCATACCAGGAAGATTGTTAAGTGTTAGGATGTAAAAAGATGATTTTGTGTCTCTCTGTATCATGAATATTTCCTGTGTGTATGTAAATTTGAGTGTTGTGTGTTGTTTTGAATATTAACTTTTTTTTCCTTCATTTGAACAGTTAGTCCCAGATGATACAGGAAAGAGGTGTTTTGATCTAGTCTCCAGCTCCAGTGAGTATCAATATTGATATTAAACCATTGTTACAAAAACAGTTGTTATGAAAGTTTAGATATTTCATCTTTTAACTGATAATCATCACTGTGGTCTGTTTTCTGATTCTTGTCTCTCTGGTTGGTTTTAACTCTTACAGAATCTTTAAGTTTTCTCTAATTTTCAATGATGGACAATTTTAATTATGAAGATCAGAAGTTGCCTGAGTGCTTGAATCAGATGAAGATCACAGTATTAGTGCAGTCTGTAAAACATATTGGGGTGTGTTACTTAAAAATAGGTATATTTCATTAAAATGTGATAACTTACCTTGAGAATGTTTTAGGGATGTTTTTAATCTATCAGTTTGAAGAAATTCTTTCCTAGCAATCGCAAAGGGTTTAACAGTTAAAAATATTGTTTCATATCAACACAATAAGAATGGTCAAACACATCCCCCCACCCCCCTACCCACCTTCATCATTTCTGAAGTTCATCTGTACCAATTTGTTTTTGAATGTCTGCACATTATTGTTTTATTGTTGTCTCCTGTTTATAGTTACCTTTCAATTCCAGATATTTATAAAACAGAGACATGAACATTTGAAATTTGCATTAATTTGTAGTTAGTAATTCATAAAATGTACTGTGTTACAGACAACAGAACCTACCACTTTCAGGCTGATGATGACAAAAATATGGAAGAGTAAGTCTAAAACAGATCATTCCAAAAAAATACTTTTGTCATTTGTGTTAAATGCTTAATTGACTTCATGATTAATGCCTAACCATGTAACAGGTATTTGGGCTTGTTCAGTAAAATACCTTGCTCATCTCAACCTGACAGTGCAAATTAAAAAATGTCAAATTGAAATTTCGATGGGCGGTGTGCCTTTTATACCAAAAATTACTTCCTGTTATGGCAGAAGCTTGAAATGTCTCTGTATAAATACGATGACCAGATTAACTGGTAAAAACCAACATGGTCAGGCACGTGACCCCAAACTTTTTGTGTCTGTTCAGGAATTAAACCCTGGGTGCCTAGGTGAAAGGCGAGTCTGTTACCAATTATTTACCATTAATACAATATAATACATTATGACGATGCCATTGAGAATAAAAATACATTATATTAGGTGTTCACTTATCATGAAAAAGATGTTAGTCTTTTGAAAAGATTTTCATTACTTCTATTTTGGATAAAATTTTGTTTAACTTTAAGGGGAAATAACTCCTAATTATCAGCGAATATAATATTACAGGTGGATCTCGGTGTTAAACAATGCAAAGGAGCAAGTTCTAATGAAGGCGTTCCAAAACAACAGCAACGCTCCCGCACTTAACCAGAGTGTGCGGGAATTAACAGCCAGTATCATTGACAGAGTACGACGTTTACCAGGCAACAACGTGTGCTGTGACTGTAACGCACCAGGTGAGATCAGTAGCATTATACCTAGTAGTAACCTTGATTTTACCAACATTGCTCAACAATATAACAATCATTGCAAATATGCTAATTCATCATTGTGGTTTTAGCATATAACGTTGATTGTACCAAAATAAGAATCTTTAGAGTAAAAAATTTGTTAAATATTCTTTTAAAAAAATATGTGTTATTTTTTAATGAATGTATATATTTTTGTTACAGAAAAAGTTATTTTTCACAGAAAATTGATCAAAGAAGAAGTCTCCCATTTAATATTGAATCTTGTTGTGTTTTGTAGAACCTGAATGGTTATCAACAAATCTTGGGGTCCTGATTTGTCTGGAATGTTGTGGTATACATAGACAATTAGGTGTACATATATCTAGGACTCAAAGTCTAGTTATAGACGAGCTTGGTACCTCACAGTTATTGGTAAGTCATCCACGGCTTAATGTCGAAATAAAGGCTAGTTGAATTGATAATACAGACAAAGTTTAAAAAATATTCAAGAAAAATAGATAAACTTGTACATAAAAAAGCTTCAATGTTTTATTTGATTGTTTCTGAGTTCTAGTTGTTTGATTTCACCGAGTGTTTCTGTTTGTGTTACAGATAGCCAGAGTGGTTGGAAACGGGTATTTTAACGACATATTGGAGGCCAAGTTAGACCCTTCAACTAAACCAACAGTATCTAGTCCAATGTAAGTGTCACACTGTATCATCAGACAAATAATCCCATGTCTGGTAATATGTCAACCCATCTATATTACTTATTACTGATAAGTAAAATCGCTAACAAATACTGGCTTTTTCTTTGGTCTCTGAGAAGCCCAGCTCCTGACTTTGAAGCAAGGCTTATGCAACCCCCTCTGGCTTAATTGCTATGGTAGGATAAGGATAGAGCAGATATTTAAATAATATGTCAGTCATAAGCTGCTGTCTGTCATCTATTCAGTCATTGATTTATAGATTCGTATCTTAAGATTTAATGTAGCATTCATGACAGAATCTTAAGTCACACTATAGGTTGATAAAGAAATATTTTCACTATGTGAACATTTTTTATTCAGGGAGGAGAGACTTAATTTCATCAAATCGAAATACGGGGAACACAAATACGCAATAATCACATGTACCTACAAGGATGACCTGAAACAGGACCTGAAACAGGCAATACTGACGCATGACATCAATGCCCTTCTCCAGGTGTATGCTGAAGGGTTAGACCTGATGGCTGATCTGCCAGACTGTGTAAGTATCTAAGTAACACACAACATTAACGCTCTGCTCCAGTTGTACACTAAAGAATTAGACTTGATGGCTGATCTCTGTTGGCCTGTGTAAGTATCTAAGTTACACACAACATTAACGCTCTGCTCCAGTTGTACACTAAAGAATTAGACTTGATGGCTGATCTCTGTTGGCCTGTGTAAGTATCTAAGTAACACACAACATTAACTCTCCGCTCCAGTTGTACAGTAAAGGGTTAGACCTGATGGCTGATCTGTTGGCCTGTGTAAGTTTCTAAGTAACACACAACATTAACTCTCCGCTCCAGTTGTACACTAAAGAATTAGACCTGATGGCTGATCTGTTGGCCTGTGTAAGTTTCTAAGTAACACACAACATTAACTCTCCGCTCCAGTTGTACACTAAAGAATTAGACCTGATGACTGATCTGTTGGCCTGTGTAAGTTTCTAAGTAACACACAACATAAACTCTCCGCTCCAGTTGTACACTAAAGGGTTAGACCTGATGACTGATCTGTTGGCCTGTGTAAGTTTCTAAGTAAGACACAACATAAACTCTCCGCTCCAGTTGTACACTAAAGGGTTAGACCTGATGACTGATCTGTTGGCCTGTGTAAGTTTCTAAGTAACACACAACATTAACTCTCCGCTCCAGTTGTACACTAAAGGGTTAGACCTGATGGCTGATCTGTTGGCCTGTGTAAGTTTCTAAGTAACACACAACATTAACTCTCCGCTCCAGTTGTACACTAAAGAATTAGACCTGATGACTGATCTGTTGGCCTGTGTAAGTTTCTAAGTAACACACAACATAAACTCTCCGCTCCAGTTGTACACTAAAGGGTTAGACCTGATGACTGATCTGTTGGCCTGTGTAAGTTTCTAAGTAACACACAACATAAACTCTCCGCTCCAGTTGTACACTAAAGGGTTAGACCTGATGGCTGATCTGTTGGCCTGTGTAAGTTTCTAAGTAACACACAACATTAACTCTCCGCTCCAGTTGTACACTAAAGGGTTAGACTTGATGGCTGATCTGTTGAACTCTTGTTATTTTAAATCAGTATTTCCAGATTACATATTTCGTAATTAGAAGTATTTTAGGTATTGCAAACTCATTATTGCTGACTGTTGGCTTTTATTTGTTGGTTGGTTAACTCTACAATCTTGATGACATTTCAGGATAATGGTGAGACAGCTTTACATCTGGCCATTGAAGAAGAGGAAGGATATCCGCCTCATATTGTAGATTTTATCATCCAAAACTCGTCCCAGTAAGTCATGTATCATAAATTTGTCAAACACAAATGTTACTTTTTGTAAATATGTGTAAATTAAACACAGGGTCACATCTTCTGTCTTTATCAAAATGTGTCTGTTAACTTTTGTCAACTGAGTTATCAATCTCTTGTAGTGTCTCTCCAGCTGACTAGCATACAAAATATGTCCATTGTTTGAAATATAATTTTTGTTTGTCAGAGATAGTCTGGCCCTGAAGACACTGGATGGTAACACAGCTCTACACATATGTGCCCTAGGCAACAAATCAGAATGCATGAAATTACTGCTGAGAACAAAGCCAGAACTTGCTAATGTCGAAAATTCTGATGGAAAGACTGCTTTAGACATTGCCCGGGAGAATGACTTTCAACTTTGTGCTGATCTGGTATATCCCTAAAACATTTCTCTCATATTACAATTACACAAGCAATATATTCACTCTTGTGTAACATGTTGCTTTGGTTGTGTAGTGCTTTCCTGATTTTTACTCGTCAGAAGATTGTAATCTATCTATCATGTGTATCCTGTGATAAGCCCAGGTGGCTTACACATATATATACTGGTTCTTGATAGGTCAATGTGGGATTTTTACTGGTATTTGTATTTGTTGGTATTTCAACACAAATAGATATGAGTCATCAGGCATGAGCTTACTGCTTGACAAATACAATCATGTTACCTAAATTAAGTCTGATAGTAGGTTGCCGTTTTCCATGTTTATGAATTAAGGAACGCAGATTTCAGTTTTTGTTTTTCCTGTACATATTAATTCTATTATTGATATATCATTCAATTTTATTGTCTTTCTGTCATGATTGAAGAGCAGGAAACACAAATAAATGATGTAACTCTTTGTCATTGAAAATTTGCCGTTCAGTTTCTGCCTTGAAATCCTGTGATGAAAATTGTGAAAATTAGATACTTGTGAAAAATTTGTGCAATATTTTAAGTTTTAGGTTTTTGAAATCTAACAACTACTCTGACAATAGCGCTAAAATATCACAAAAAAAAAAGATGAAAATGTTACATTTGTTTACAGTTGAAAGCTGCAATACAAGGAAGAAAGGATGTTTTTGAACATGTCAATATAGACTGGGACCTGATGTCGGTAAGTACATATAGGGACCAGTTAGAGACGGGAATAACAGAAACCAAAGATGGTTCATTCAATTAAAATATGGAAAACAGATAAATGACATCTCTTTTATTGATCGACGAGGGTTATGGTTATGAAAGTTTTGACAGTTGTAAGGTATTTTTACAATGAACTCAATTGTGTTATCTTTCTTTGATAATTTATTATTAGAAAAAAAAATGTAACTGAAAAGAATTCTTGTTGAAATTATTAATCATAAATTAATGATTGATTTTATAGGAGGAACCGTATTACCCAGAGCACTTCGACAGCGATGATGAATTAGAGGTCAGTATAGGGGTCAGAGGTCACGATTACAGATCAGGATACTTAACCATTTTAAGGTGATGAAGGGATGTGGTAGTAAAAATTTAAGTGCATTGTTATTTTCATGAGAGGCACATTTTGATGAAAAAACATGTTTGTAGTGCTTATGATTCTGCCATTTTTAGTCAAGTCTGTAAATTGACTGGAATGAAACAAACCAGTTCTAAGAATTATTTAAGTATTTTCTATCATTAAAATTCAGTTGTAAGGAAAAATATATTTGTTAAATACAGATATTTAATACAATTATTTTATAATTTGATCATAATCTTTTCAATATAGAATACTCCAGAGAGAAAACAGAGGTCAAGGCCACCAAGTATAATAACGGGGATGGCTGATCCCCAGGGTAGTCAGAATGACCTTGCAGGCAACAGAGGTCCAGGTGGAGGTCCTGGGTCTCTTCCGTACACTTACAGTAAACCAAAGAGTAAGTACTGTAGTCACTTGTAACGCTGACTTTCCATTGTTACCCAATTCAAATAAACCACAAACACCTAGGCCTCGCTACTGCATTGAGTGGTTATAGTGGAGAAAATTTATTTTTTCTGAGAAACAATGTCATTACAATCTTCAGGGTTTTTTTCCTTCAAATTTAATAGATACAATGATATGTCCACAGGACAAAGTCTAGGGAATTTCTTATTGTAACAAGACAAAAATTTATAGAACAGTCTCTTTCTAGAATGATTTTTACTTTCATACTTTCATGTTTGCACTGTCAAATGGTTTTGAATGTATTACATGGTATTCAGAAAAATGAGATAATTCTACTGAGATAGATATAAAAACTTGAAATGGTTTTATGTAAAAAAAAAAAAAAAAAAATCTGGGTTTCATCACTCTTTCAAGCATCATTTTCCTACTTCTAGAGTTTGTAAATCAACCAGGCGGTAAACTCCGTAACAGTGTGCGTGGTTGTAAGTAACCAATTCTATGAGCATGATTGTCATGTAAACATAATTATCTCCCCTGAATGTTTTATAGAGCCCTTCAGTATTATGAGCATTGTGTTGTATTAGATATGTACATTTGCCCTACTTATTTTTAACATGATTTTTACCCATTAACTTTTCAGTTTAGCACCCCAATCCTCATTTGTGTGATAGAAATTTTGAATTATTCCTTTGCAGTTTAGCACCCCAATCCTTATTTGTGTGTTAGAAATTTTAAATTATTCCTTTTAATTGATAGAACGTAGTTTTCATTATATTTTTTTGTCATCTTATGCTTAATTTGATAATTACACCACTGCTCTTTGGAAAAATGGTGATGTATAATTTCTCATAAACTATGATACCTTCATGCAAATTAACTTTATGATCAAGAATGGAAGGCCATAGTTGGAGAGAAGAATTTGGAGATTTTGATATTAAGCATGACGTGTGGATGTAAACTTTGGAAGACGGTCATAACTTGCTGTTTGCTGTTATGTGATTCATTTATTGGTTTGAATGTTCCAAAGTATTATTGTACATCGAAAAAATTCCATTTAAAAGAAAAGAAAGCTTCATGTTATGTATTGAAAAACAGAGTAGCCAGACTTATGGAGATGCTTTGGGAATGTTTTACAATGTGTTTTGTGAGAAATAATAGTGTCAATGTGACTCAAACAACTTCAGTGAAATAAACCTATTATAAACCAGAGAGATTTTGCATGACTGTTCTGTACTTGCTTCAGGCTAGGTAAAATATCAATAAGAAAATCTTCCATTATGATCTGTCATTTTATACAGCATCTTGAAATCCTCAGTCTTCAGTGTATCTGATGCCATTAATGTTTATTGCATGAAAACAGAAAGTAAATGTATGGATTTATGAAAAGACTGAAATTTGTGTTATTTATTGATGCTCATCATATAGATATGTGTTTGTTATATATATCTGAATGTGATTGTTCTTCCCTTGTTATTACTAGCATGTCCAAACAGAGTAATCACCCTTCACAGTACTGATAGCTTTTGTTTAAAAAAAGGTCTGATAGAGTTACCTCCTCTTGATGGAATAATATTGTAGTCGCCTCCCTTAAAACCTTCCTCATATATCTTGTTGAGTTATCTCCCTTAGTGGTATGGATCACTCGTGGATAAGGATTGTTCATTTATGACATAAGGATGAACCTTCTGATCTTATGTTGCTTTCTGATTAGCTTTTACAAGTTTGCACAAATGTTTCGCTGAATCATGGTCCATAGGTTCTGTGAGATAGAAATAATGCGTTCAAATGTTATATATGTATACCTGGGTACTGTTGCTTCATTTTGTTGCTACAGGTATTTTTTACAAAAAGTTGCAGATCATTGAACTGATTATATCCAGCTGGAACAGTGTTTATATCTTGGATAAAACAACGCCACCATCAATAGATAATGATCTACTGTTCCATTGATTGTTCTGAAATCTGTTATTCTTACAATTACTAATGCAGAACTAAACATTCTATTCTCAAATGTAGGTTTCTTAAGAGTCAGTCTTTGGGTTTCTTCATATTGCAAAATTGAGAATTATCAAAGCTGTTTTCAAGCTTTTTAGTCAATTTAGTTAGTGTCTAAGAAATGTTTTTATTTAGCCTTTATTTCCATGCCATGACATGTTTTTTTCTTTGGCTTTTAGACTCGCATAGTTTTCACAACAATACTGGAACTACAAATGGAGGGGGAGTCCAGACCGCACCTCCTGTGAGCGAGACACATGATGCTCCTCCATATGTCCCTCCCCTACCCCCAAGGAACAAGAAACAACAGACTCCCCTCGTAGGTATAGGACAAGGCCATAATAGAAATGCCTCTGAGCCATTCCCTCCTAGACCAACACATAAGAGGACTCCGTCTGATCCTCCTCCGAGACCTGCCCCTCCAGAATTCCGTGCTATTGGGATAGGATCAGCAAGACCTACAAGTTATCGACCACGAACGCAGTCCACAAATGAAGAAGGTGAGAAAACTTGAAGATGTTTATCATAGCTTGTGTTGAAGAGTTTTCAGGATGTTCTCAACATAATGTAGATGTTTTTTTTTTTTTTTGATGGTTCAGATTTAAGCAGATATACTAAAACCTTCAAACAAGAAGGAAGCAGTTTTTGTCACAAAAGTTGTGTAATAAACTAAATTTTTTTTCTATCAATTACATTTTTGTGTATCTGTTTTTACTGGTTGTATGCTATCCCTGAAAATAGAAAGTTGAAAATATTCTTAAAGATTCTTAAAGTTCTGAGATGAAAAAAAAACGAATAGAAATTTGTAATCTTTTATTGATTGTAAACTGATATGAATTAGTTTGATATCATTGAAAGTGTTTGATAAATTGAGTGGTTGTTAGACTAACACTAGTACTGTGTATCAAGAATATTTAAACTAATGTTTTTACTTTGTATTGATAGACAAGGGACCTATCACTCCTCCAGTGTTGCCGTCCCGACAACCGATACCAGACAAGGAGGTACCACCCGTGCCAGTCCCGCGCCAGAAGGTATGTTCATCTATATACACATGTGATGTATTTATGATAGTACAAGAACTTCAGATGATTGAGAACATATTAGCTCATAACTGGTTTTTAGGATGGCTTGTTGTTACAGTGGTAACACACTACATCTCCCCAAGGCAAATGAAAACCAATTCCCCTAGACAATGTGAAAAGAAAGTTCACTTTCCTGACATGGGTTTTCTGCCAATACCCTGGTCACTTTTCTCAAACACTTCTGTCTGCATAACAAGAGGTTTTATATAAGCTGTCATGTCTTGTTTCACAACAATTGTGAAAGAAATGAAATTTCATATTTTCAGAATGGTAGCTAATATTCATTTTAAATAGATTCATAATATTTTTGCACAAACTTTATTCAGTAGCATCTTATGTTAAATGTTTAAAAACAATCTTTACAAAGTGATGTACACCTTCATAAGTTTTCAGTCAGCTGAGGTTAGAACTTCAGAGCTTTTAGCTTTGTAGTGTAGTAGTGATAATTGAACTTTGTATAACTGAGAGTATGTGAATTCTGGATATAGTATTTCTGAGGTACTTTATATTTCATTATTTATGAGAATGGAATAAGATAATGAAAATTAGACACCTCGAAAATTAAGTTAAAAGAGTAAACTACAAATGGTTTCATGCCATAAAAAAATTTAAGTCCCTTATTGACAGATTTCAACTTGGACATGTAAAGGGAGATAACTTTTGACTTTTTTTTTTTATGAGTTTTAATATGTGAGCAATAGAATTGACATGTTTGAAGCATTGTTGTAGGATTTTCATAAATTTTACAGAGTCTTTGAATTTTGCAGAAAAAAGTTCCTATTGGCTTAAAATGTCGAGCTCTGTTTGACTGTGAGGCAGACAACGAAGATGAATTGACTTTTACTGAAGGGGAGATAATTATAGTTTTACGAGAAGAGGAGGAAGATTGGTGGGTAAGCATAACACAGTAAAATGTCTGATAGATGAATGAACATCTGTTGAAAGGGAAGAACTGGTGGGTAAGTATGATACTCTCTAGAATGTGTCTGTGAAGATGAAAGCAAATGTAGGGGAGATATTTTGAGAAGAGGAAGAAGACTTGGCGTGGGTGGGGGTTAGTATTAGATATTGGATGTAGAATGTCTGTTAGCCGGGGGTTATAATTAATGAAGGGGAGATAATTATGAATTTGGATTCCTCATGAAAGTAAATTTAGTTGATGTCAGTAAGGTTTATTAGTCTAATGGAGTCTCAGTGTTAAGATGTACTTTTTGTTTTACAGGAAGGTGAAATAGAGGGTAATGCAGACAGACGCGGCCTCTTCCCGAAGACGTTTGTAGAACAACTCCCAGACCAAGGATAACAAAAGCTGAAAAATCTGATGTACTGAATACCTGTTTGGATGGTCATTCTTAATTCAAAGCTGTCGCATGTGCAGCTTAGATATCCACATGAATTACAGTCAGTTTTTATGTATAATATATTTATCTTTACAGTCATCTAGTTGCTTTTTACTGTGGTATGTACAATGGCGACCATCTAGTCACTTTATGACTCAGCTAGGGGTATGTCACAGTGGTGAACTGTCTGGTCACTTGTTACTGACTTGACTAGGGGTATGTCACATTGTGAACTGTCTAGTCACTGGTTACTGACTTGACTAGGGGTATGTCACAGTGGTGAACCATCTAGTCACTTGTTACTGACTAGACTAGAAGTATGTCACAGTGGTGAACTGTCTAGTCACTGGTTACTGACTAGACTAGAAGTATGTCACATTGGTGAACTGTCTGGTCACTTGTTACTGACTTGACTAGGGACATGTCACAGTGGTGAACTGTCTGGTCACTTGTCACTGACTTCACTAGGGGTATGTCACAGTGGTGAATTGTCTGGTCACTGGTTACTGACTTGACTAGGGGTATGTCACAGTGGTGTTGTCTATTATGACCTAAATGAATTTTATCTACACAACAAAAAATCCTCTGTTATTCTGAGATTTTTTTGTAAAATTTCAAGTCTGTCCCTTAGAAACCTGATTTTGTTTACCTCTTTATGAAACATATGTGTGCAATTTATGTCCTAACATTAATGTCATATAGCCAAATTCTTTACACAATTTTTGTGACAATATTTGTAAGATTTTATTAAATGTTGTTGATTTCTTTGTTAACCTAACCAAGCAAACTTACAACATGAATTTGCAATATGTAAAACTCCACATTCATTATGATATTGCCTTAAGATGCAATAGATCTTTGTTTTCAGTAAATATTGACCTAATTCTTGTTTAGAAAGTCAACCTGTTGTACAGTTTCACATTTAGTGAAAATGTTTCCAGAAGAAGTTTAAGTAAATATGTAGAGATTTTACCCACAGATGTCAAACACAATAACTTTAGAGTCTTCCGTTAAAAATTCCTCATGAAATATTAACTTTATACGTTAAGTATTATATTTTGCATGATCGTTATGGTTTTGAAGATACAGTACATCAATTTACCTAGTGTACCGGCACTTTGCAATTACGCCAAATGTCAGCATACTTTTATATGCAAATGCATGGTTTTGAAGATACAGTACATCAATTTACCTAGTGTACTGGCACTTTGCAATTACGCCAAATGTCAGCATACTTTTATATGCAAATGCATGGTTTTGAAGATACAGTACATCAATTTACCTAGTGTACTGGCACTTTGCAATTACGCCAAATGTCAGCATACTTTTATATGCAAATGCATGGTTTTGAAGATACAGTACATCAATTTACCTAGTGTACCGGCACTTTGCAATTACGCCAAATGTCAGCATACTTTTATATGCAAATTCATAGCTTTGAAGATACAGTACATCAATTTACCTAGTGTACCGGCACTTTGCAATTACGTCAAATGTCAGCATGCTTTTATATATAAATGAAGTTGTATGTAATGGTCTTGTTTTAAATGGTTGACTACTTCTATCTTGGTAATCAATTTTGTTTACTGAATGAATGATAGTTATAATACATCAATAATGTCAGTGCCACAAGTTTTGATTAATGTAATGATACAAATGTTGACAAATTTTTCTAAACATATTTTTCATCTACGATATACAGTGCTATCCATTAATTGTTACACAAATTCTTATTTTAGAGCTATTTTTCACACATCTTTAAAGTTTACGATTGTTGGAAAGTTGTTGAAGGTTTTTAATTTGGAAGTATAAGATTAAACGCAAAATTTTGTTAAAATTTCTGAATATCTATGCTCTGTGTTCCTTTTTCATTCATAGATAATATAAATCTGGTGTTTTGTTGACTTACTGTTTTTTGAATATATAAGATTTTACAAATGGCTCCATAATTGACAGGATTTTCACGAAACAAGCCTTAGCAAGTTTCCAAACATGATGGAAGTAAATTTGATATTTATATTTTAATCCTGAAGAGGATCAGAACGTACAAAATGGCATATTTTAGGAATTTATTGATAGTTTTAGATATTTGAAGAAAAATAATATCGATGGTGTTGTTGCTTTGAATTTGTGATATTGTATGATTCCTCGTGACAGCACAGCAGTTGATATTACTTGTTACATAAATAAGATATATATGGTAGTTATTGCACTCTTTGACCTGTTTATTAGTGGAGTTGGTAATTGTCTGTACATTTCTAGTGTGTCATCAGCGCGCACCGACATCACTCGTCACCTGAGATTTTGCTGTTATTCGACTGTTGAAACCCTTTGATGTATTTCATTGTTACCCTTGGGTAAAGAACTTGGTATCTATGGCAACGTTTGTGGTAATCCATGGTAAAGCTGTTCATTGTTACTGTTTTCTTAATGTATATACTTTCACAGAACTTTTCATCAAAATGTCATTATCTCACATTGTCAACACTTTTCTTTACATGAAAATTGTCTACTTTTAAGAGGTTTTTTAATGATTTATTTTGTAACGGAGCGGGTTTATTTGTGGGCATATTATAAATATACAAGTATCAGATGTTACAGGTATTTAATATTACAGGTAAATTGAAGCACCTATGTCATAATCCATTGAGATTGATGTGATACATTTTGTATTGCTAACATGATGTATTAAAAATACCAATTGTATTATAATGTCCTCACTATAGATGTGTCTTTCCTTGCACTCATATGACCTCAGTGAAAAATTGTTCATTTATCTTTTTAACAAAGTACTATTTCTTAAGTAAGAAAATGTAAAGATGTCTTTTTCTTGTATTTATATTGAAAGAGAGTTTTAATTTCATTTTAAAAAATCCTGTAAATTCAAGAGAGAATGGTTTTGATGTCACATGAAAGAAAAGAAAATTGATCTCTAGGTCATCCTGCAGTTATCATCCATAGACAATTTTCAAGTGATCAATGTAGAAGAACTGAAGACATGCTTTAATTTTATTTGAAATATCAGTTAAATGTTATATAAGATCAATTTCTTCAATTATCAAAATTACAAAAAAAAAAAAACCCAAAAAATACAGTTAAGGTGGAACATTGAAACAAGAACATGTTCATCATTATTGTGAAAAACACCCCCAAAAACTGAAGACTGCCAAAATTTTTACTTCTGTCAAGAATTTCTGATTTTGTCATTAAATGAGACATAATTTAGTGTTAGGAAAACCTCTTGTGTTAAAATTGTCATGAAATTCATAAAATATACTTTGTGTTGTATTATTATGGTAGTTATGTATAATTGTTGCACAACGTACATTTATGAAAGTTGCATAATTATGCATCTTATGTATATAGACCTATATTAGGTACACGATACCTACCCAAGCTGTTATGTACATAGTAGATACACTGTTTTAACTTACAATGTTTTATAGATGTTGGATTTGAATTGAAATGTAAAGACTGGTGACTGCTGATACAGAATAGATTTGTATTTTATGTGCAGTTAATAAAACCATTTGAAGGTTTTTCCCCAGGAAATATGATTTTTGCGATGGTTTCAGGAGTTCGGACGTTATCAATCTTTTCTTGTATATGTATATATTACCCTGTTAGATTTGACAATGGGCAAAACACATTTGTTCTGTTGAACTGATTTTTGTCACTGTGCTTTGCTTGGATGTTATGTAATACTGACTATATTTTATCAGCCTCTCATTATTCCTACACCCTGATTGGTCAAAACACCTCTCATAGGTCTAATTACCAGAGGCCAGAGGACGTTGTATAATGTCTCTTTACTGTACTCAAATCAATATTTACTGCCTCCTCATCTTCAATGATCATGGTAAATATTAATGCACTGCTGTAAAACCATTATCACAGATATAGGTATATAGTATTATTGGTATGATAAATAAGACTCGCTTTTAATACACAAATATTTAGTGGTATTCAGTAAAGGTAGTGTTAGGAATTTGTGACAATTATTTCGCAAATTTCTGGTTTATATGAAGTCGTATATTTAAATTGTATAAAGAGAAAGCTGAATTTTATTTGATGGCTGATAAAACTGTTACGCTCATTTAGACATGTTTCTTTAACAATAGTTTATGTACTGCTTACCTTATTTACCAACACCAATATTTACCTATTGTGTATAAACAATTGTTAAGGACCCAGTCCTGCTCTGACCAATACTTACTTACATATGTGCAATATATATATATATATATGTATAAATGTCAAAAGTTTTGTAAATATAAAGTACATATACATTCTATGTACTTTTTTACAATGTATATATATTATGTACACATTTTGAATATGATAATCAATAAGTATATACTCTGTATACTGAGTTCATACTGAATATTTATTGTACACCAAGTATGAAATAACATATTTTGTATACAATGTGTTTCAAGGTAATGCATAATTTGTATACATTGTATATACTTAAACCATATATACTGTGTATAAATTTCATAACATTGTATGTTATATACCTTGATGCCAGAAGTCTGTATGATGTTCATGATAGTGTGTGAGGTTTGGGAGACTTGTATTTCTTCAATATTTCATAATATTGATATTTCCTCTGATGTCCAAGTCTCAACAGTAGAATAAAGAGGGGGTCACTGTTACAGAAAAAAAAACTTGAAGGTTAAGAACTTAATGAAACCTTGCAGTTAGCCTCATAATTCTCAGCTTTTGGAGGAGATATTTCTGTCTACATGACACTGGAGTGATGGATTATTTTAATCTGTGTAAATATGTATCATGTGTGGAAAATTAATTAAAACTAACAGAAATGTTCAGGGTTTTGTTTATCAGCCTTAATCCACTAACGAGTGATATGAAGGACCAACTGACAATATTAATTATATTAAACAATATTGGTTGCTATGACACGAGGAATATTTCCTGTCATGTTCAAACCATTATATTTCCATTGGTGCAATTAAATCTTTATTCTAAGAAAATGTAGATTGAGGCATCTGGTATTTTCTATCGCGATGTTGAGTCGACTGTTACTCAACAATACCTGTGTCTGTCACGTTACTTGGGAGACAGAGATATTAATCTAATCCTTGTTTTTATCTACGATGGAGAAATGTTCTGTCACTATCAATATTAGAAACACTAAAGACTTTATTTTTTGAGAATCTCTTTTTCAGTTTTTTAGAGAGCGAAATAAAATTTTTCTAAAGATGTACACTAAAAATGAATTTAATCAAGAAGACTATAGTCTGTTTCAGTGATGTGAAAAATTTATCAAATTACTTCAAGCTTTGAAAACAAAATTGACGGAGAAATCCAATCTTCTGATATCCATTCCTTGAAAGCTATTTGAATGGAGCTTTCGATGGATTAGTGAAAATCGGAACCATTGGAAATATAATGGTACCCATGACTGCTCCATCGTGTCTATATATAGACTTCATTTCTAAAACAAGTCAACAACCACAAAACCTCTGTTGAATTTCTGTTCCTTAATGTCAAGGACAAGGTTGCGGCTGCTTTTAATAGATATTTGTCAATCAGTGATGCTTCATGTAGTTGGGAGTGGGGACATTCATGTTGTAGTAATTTTCTGGATTAATTTAAATGTTAAGTGTAATTCTTACATCTCGCTGAAGAAAATCTCTTCAAAATGTCAATTTCCGTAGCCGCAGGTTACAATCTGGTTAGTATTATATTTATACTGTATTTCTGCTTTATACTATTCATGATATTAAAATATCTGTGCAATACTTCTGATGTGTGACAATAACAACTTGTTGGATTTGTTTGTCTAGAAT